CCTACCAGGCTCCTCTGTCCATGGGATTTTCCCAGGCAAGGATCATGGAGTGGGTTTCCATTTCCTTTTAAAAGGGATCTTCCTGACCCAAGGATTGAACCTGCATCTCCTGCTTGGCAGGTGGATTCTTTACCACTGAGCCACCTGGGAAGCCCAGATAATATGGTAAATGTATATTAAACACTGGAAGGACTGATGCTGAAGCTGAAACTCCAATACTTTGGCCACCTGATGCGAAGCGCTGACTCATTGGAAAAGACCCTGATGCTGGGAGGGATTGGGGGCAGGAGGAGAAGTGGACGAAAGAGGATGAGATGGTTGGATGGCATCACTGACTCAATGGACATGGGTTTGGGTAAACTTCAGCAGTTTGTGATGGACAGGGAGGCGTGGCGCGCTGCAGTTCATGGACGCGCAGAGAGTGGGACACGACTGAGCGACTGAATTGAACTGAATTCTTTTTATACATTAGTTGATCACATTTGCTAATATTTTGTTAAGGATTTCTACACCTGTATTCATGATAGATATTAGTCAGTAGTTTTCTTGTGATGCCTGTCTTGCTTTGGTATTATGTAATGCTGGCCTCACAGAATAAACTAGAAGATTTTCCTCTGCTTCTACCCACTGGAAGAGACTGTAGATAACCGGGATAATTTCTTCCTTCAGAGTTTGGTAGAATGTACCCAGTGCGCCTATCTGGGTGTGTACTTTCTGTTTTGGAATGATATTAATTACAGATTCAATTCCTTTAATAGATGTAAGCCATTTTGTATTGTCATTATTCTTCTTGTGTGAGTTTTGGCACCTGTGTCTTTCAAGGAATTGGTCTATTTAACTAGGTTATCTAATTTTTAGGCATAGAGCTAAAAATTTTTAGGGGCACAAGCTGTTTATTACTATTACTACTTTATTATCCACTTTTAAAATTTGTTTTAATTGGAGGATGACTGCTTTACCATGCTGTGTTAGTTTCTGCCTACAAGATGAATCAGCTGTAAGTATACGTTTATTCTCCCTCTTGAGCCTCGCCCCCACCCCCTGCCCATTATACCCCACTAGGTCAACACAGAGCTTTATTATCCTTTTAATGTCTAAGGGATCTGCCCTCTTTTTCATTTCTTATACTAGTGATTTGTATCCTCTTTTTTTCTTTTCCTTAGCCTGCCTAAGGGTTTATCAATTTTTACTGATCTTTAAAAAAAAAAAAGCTTTTGGTGTCACTGATTTTCTCTATTGATTTCCTGTTTTCACTTCAATGGTTTCTGCTCTAATTCATATTATTTCTTCTGCTAACCTTGGATTTAATTTGCTCTTCTGTTTCTAGTTTACTAAAGTAGAAACTTGGGATTACTGGAGTAGTTGCTCTATTTTAAGTAAGAAATCAAAAGAAAGCAACTAGGGTAGTAAGAGGAAAAAAGTTATTACAATGGAGATAAAAGTGAACAGAAATAAAAAAGCCTTATGATTTTGAATTGAAAAAAAAAAAAAAAACCACACAAAGACTCACAAAAATCACACTTCAGCCCTGGAAAAAATACTGCGTTGGTAGAGGAGAAAACTGTAAGCCCCTTCAAAGAGCAGGGAACCTCTAGTAAGACTGACAAAGATTAAAACAAGAGAAGATACAAATTACCAATATCAGGAAACAGGACATAACAGATTTCCCATCTATGAAAAGCACAGTAAGATGTGCTGCTGTTGGGAATGTAAACTGGTACGGCCACTGTAAAGAACAGTATGGAGGTTCCCTAAAAAACTAAGAACAGAACTACCATATGACCCAGCAATCCCATTCCTGGGCATATCCAGAGGAAAACATAACTCAAAAAGACACATGCAGCCCAGTATTCACTGCAGCACCATTTACAACAGCCAGGACAAGGAAGCAAGCTAAGACATGACCACCAGAGGAACAGATAGACGATGCGGCATACGTATACACACACACACAATGGAATATCACTCAGCCATAAAAATAAACAAAGTCGGGTCATCTGTAGAGATGTGAATGGACCTGGAGACTGTCATACAGAGTGAAGTCAGTCAGACAGAGAAAAAAAATATCATATGACATCCCTAATATATGGAACCTAAAAAGAAATGATACAAATGAACTTACTTACAAAACGGTAAGAAACTCACAGACTTAGAAAATGAACTCATGGTTGCCAGGGGGAGGGGACAGTTAAGGACTTTGGGAAGGTCATGTACACACTGCTATATTTAAAATGGATAATCAACAAAACACTACTGGAGAGCACAAGGAACTCTGCTCGATGTTATGTGGCAGCCTAGATGGGAAGGGAGTTGGGGGAGAATGGACACATCTATACGTATGGCTGAGTCCCTTCACTGTTCACCTGAAACTCTCACAATATTCAGCTATACCCCAACACAAAATGCTTTAGGTGGGGAAAAAAAAAAGATGTGGTGCATGCGCATGTGCGCACGCACGCGCGCACACACACACACACACACACACACACGGAGGAATATTACTCGGCCGTAAAAAGGAATGAAACTGGGTCATTTGGAGAGATGTGAATGGACTTGGAGACTGTCACGGAGTGAAGTCAGTCAGAAGAACAAATATCAGATTAATGCATATATGTGGGATCTAGACAAATGGTATAAATGATCTTATCTGCAAAGCAGAAATAGAGACATAGACGTAGAGAACAAACCTATGGACATCGAGTGAGGAAAGGAGGGTGGTGGGATGAATTAGGAGACTGGGATTGACATATATATACTATTGATACGACGTATAAAGCAGATAACCAATAAGAACACTACTGTATAGCTCAGGGAACTCTCCTCAATGCTCCACGGTGAGCTAAATGGGACACACACAAACAGGAAGGGAGTCTAAGAAACAGGGCACGCATGTACACCTCTAGCTGACTCACTCTGCTGCACAGTGGAAACTAACATGTCAAGCAACTATACTGTCAGTCACTCAGTCGTGTCCCACTCTCTGCGACCCCATGGACTGCAGCCCACCAGGCTCCTCTGTCCATGGGATTCTCCAGGCTAGAATACTGCAGTGGGTTGCCATGCCCCTCTCCAGTAAAGCAACTATTCCTATAAAAAAATTTTTAAAAGAGCACAGTTAGAGAATACTGCAAGCAACTTCATGCTCACAAATTTGACAACTTAGAAGAAACAGACACATTCTTCAAAAGCTACAAATTACCAAACACATGCCAAGATGAAACAGATTAAAGACTCTGAATTTATAACAAATATATAAAGAAATCTCTAGGCACAGATGGGTTCGGTGGAGATTTTACCAAACATTTTAAAGAATTTACATCAATTTTATACAATCTCTTCCAAAAAACAGAACAGAAGGGAACACTTTTCAACTCATTCTGTGAGGCCAGTATTACTCTGAGAGCAAAACCAAAGGCAGAACCACAGGCTAATATTGACTGTGAATTTACATGCAAAAATCCTCAAGAATATCAGCAAACAGAACTCAGCAAAGTATAAAAAGAATAACAGACCACTACCAGGTGGGATTTATTATAGATTTGAATGGCTGATTCAACATTTCAAAATTAATCAGCCCCGTTATCACCCTTTGTTGCTGTTCAATCACTAAGCCATGTCTGACCCTTTGTGACCTCATGGACTGTAGTCTGCCAGGCTCCTCTGTCCACGAGATTTTCCAGGCAAGAATACTGGAGCAGGTTGCCATTCCCTTCTCCAGGGGATCTTCCCAACTCAGGGATCAAACCTGTGCCTCCTGCATTGACAAGTGGATTTTTTACTACACCAGGGAATCCCTATTTAACACCCCACCAGCATCATAAAAAAGAATATTCATACAATCATATCAACTGAAATAGAAAAAGACCAGGGAGAGCATCACCTAATTCAACAGTGTTTTCTCAATATCTAATAGCAGGCACTCAAAAATATTAGTGAATGAATAACTTCTTCCCATCTATCATGTCAACAACCGTATATAACATGATTAAAACTCAAAGAGAGAGGAATGAAAAATGGCTAATCAGGTACTTCCCTGATGGTCCAGTGGCTGAGACTCTGCATTCCCAATGTAGGGGGCCCAGGTCTGATCCCTGGCCAGGGAACTAGATCCCACAGGCTGCAACCAAGAGGCTGCATGGCACAGCTAAGAGACCCTGCATGCTGCAATTAAGGCCAGCTGCAGCCATACAAATATTTTAAAAATTTTTTGAAAGTTAAAAAAATCACTAATGAATGAAAACGAGCATATTTTAGCCACATACCTTTCCTCCTGTGAGTAAAAGGGCCCCATTCCTAAGTCCTGCCACAAGGGACACCAGCTGCCGAGACAGAGGACGCCCCAGGAGGCTGTGCGTGATGTGCTCCATGGAGGAGACGCCGAAGGAATTCACTCCTCTGCAAAACATGTAAACTGCATGATCAAACACTAAAACAGGATAAAATCTAGCTATAAACAATTTTCCTTCACAGGCTAGTTAATGATTTATAAAAAGAGTAAAATTTTGGAAACTTTCCTTTACTTGAAAGTGAAATGATTTAATGCCCAATCTGAGTCACAGATTTTAAAACTAATTTTACTACTTTCAAACATGTGCAGTAACTAGAAATTCTGTCCAAATAGGAATCCTTAGGGGATTTGTCTTAATACACACATATATCCCCCTCAAAATGATTTCTGGCTTGTTATTCAACATTATCATACATGAGTGCTTTTAAACTATTAGGATAACTAACTGAAGACTTATTTCCTCTTAAACATCATCTTTGAAATCCAGTTTCAATCTGAAGATTACATAAACATGAACTTTAACCTACTTCCTGATTCTGCCAGTTTATTTCTGATAATAAATATCATAAATTCTTAAAATTAGTCTGCAGAGTTTTTACTTTATAAAGTAAATTACTTACTTTAAAAAGCAGATTAATTGTTGCTTTGTAGTTTAATCCTTTAACTAAAACCTTTCTAGATTATACTATTACAGAAAATCAAATCACTACTACTACATCCATTAAAGGCCTCTGTGACGAATTCTAAGTTACAGTTTATGTGAAATTCTTCTACTGTATTAAGAGCTAAAGAAATTGAGGAGGTTCTTTTCAAATTTGTCTTAAAAGTTAAGGAAAACACAAATAATTCCCATCAATCAGTACATCTATAAGACAGTGAAGGAATAACTTAATTTGAAATATTTTTAAACACTCAACTAATGTCTTTGGATTTAACTTTCAAAGTTAATTTATTAATTTCAAAAGATTATTGTTTTATTCAAGCATGTGTGATCCAGGTCATATCTAGTTGGCTCTCTTCTCACAGATCAAATCACAAAGTAAAATTTCTAATACATTTCAGACATTCAGTTTATCTGAGAAGGGAAGGAAAATTACTAAGCTAGGTGTGAAAACAGAAACAATCCTTGAAAAAACTATCTACCATTACATTAGTAACACTAGTCAATGACACCAACATCTAATTTAATATTTACACGTAAAAGCCCTGACAGGTAATGTAAAACGTGTCTAAATGTGCCAGTTTGGCCGTAACTTCTTACCCCAAGCAGTTCAGCTTTAAAAAAGGAAGAATAAAGTCAATTTCCTCACTGTTTTCTTCTTTTACCATAGGATCTAGAAGGACCTATAGTAGCAAGGAAAAATCAATTTTACATGTCAAAGTAATACCTTTTGCCTGCTTTTCTTGGGTTCCAGGAAACTGAATTGCTGATTCTGTTACACCAGAGAGAAAAGATATAGTGTGCATGCAAGATTATTACTTAAAATAACCCTGACAATAACAATTTACTCATCTAAGGAATATAAATATTTATAGTTAACAAGCAGTAAAGAATGTCTTCATGCAGTTTAGAGATATATCTTTATTTGCAATTTTGATTTATGTCACATTCTTTTCACAATCTTCCATCTTTATCATTTCTGAATGGTATTCCTTAAATTGTATTTCAAAAGTAGAGAAATAACATCTAGTTTCAAACCACTGAAATTCTAAATGACTTTAATTCATCTTCAGTTCTATAATGACAAGAGTAAATATCTTAACCAAAATATAATGTTCTAAAAAGAGTACTTTAAAAATGTATCTGGGAGAAAAGTAATCTGATAATAGTTGTGAAGAGTTGAGAATTTAAGAACTGACAAAATAATATGGGCTGTGTAGCAAAACTGCAAATAAAAATATGAATAAAAAAAAAAGTTACCCCCCTCAGCTAAGTTTTCATTTGTTCCAATACCAGAAGAGTTTAAATCATGATCCACTGGCCAATTAACATGATCAATTCTATTCCTGGAACAATTTTGCTGAAGCATCCATTTTAAATTTACAATAAATCAATCATTTGCTTAAGTAAGTTAAGGAGACTACAGAATAAAATATTTTAAATCAAGTTATTCCTTACTCTTATCATTTGAGTTTCTAATACAGTTTAGGATGCAAGGTCTTTAGAAGTAAATTCATACTTTAGAATCAATCACATGTGAAAATATTAAGTATTCAGTAGTATGTAATTACTTGTATTGTCATCTTCTGCAGCAGATTTGTACTCAATAGAAAAATACTTTTTTCTTTTTTCTTTTCCCAAGAATGAACTATATTCAGAGAAAACTCCTTCAACCCTATTAAAAAGAAAGTAATAAATGTAGTTAGTACTGCAGCTGAGATGAAATAATTGAAAATTTAAATTTATTGACATTTAAATAAAAGGATTCTTTGATACATAAAATCTACTGTTTAATTATCATTATTAGGTTTCCTGTTCATACCTATCACAAGATGGAAAAACAATGAAAAATTTTCCAACTTCTTTAATAGGAAAAATATCAAAATAACAAATAAAATATACTCACCATCTTTCATTTCCAGTTTAATGTATTCTTCCTCTGATACTATCAGAGGAATTGTGGCAGTAGCAGACTGCTGGAGCCATGAATAGAACACAGTTTTTATGTCTTCTTCACTGACATCCTTAGACTGCCAGAGGAAAGGAAAGAAACAGTAACGGTATTCTATGACCTGAACTTAACAGTCTTATTTTAATAGCTTATCTTGCCAGTAAAACGAGGGTCACAGGCAGAGATTTGGGACTTGACATTATAGTACAATGAGTATGGTGCAGCCTGAAGAAAGAGTCACACAAGTGGCAAAGTTTTAAATGCTCCTTTTTTCTATGCCCAGTGATGCACAGAGCACAATTTAGCTCACTTGATAACCACGCCAGCCCTAGTGTCTCTTGCTTCCTGTGAAGCAAACTCTGTAGTCAGGGAGCCGGCTCCTCTGTTCCCAGCCTGGAGCTGTGTGTGCATGGGTGTGGCCAACGCATCACCGTCAGNGAAACATGTGAGAATTTTCTTAAAAAACTGCCCAGATGTAGCAAAAATAGCAGTCTTTTAAATGCCAAATTATCCATATTTGCATTGACACAATATATGTTATATCATTTATTAAAGACTTCTTGCAGACTTTCCTGGTGGTCCAGTGGTTTAGAATCCGCCTGCCAATGAAGGGGACACAGGTTTGATCCCTCCCACATGCCATGGGGCAACTAAGCTCACGTGCCGCAACTACTGAGCCCATACTCTGCAACGAGAGGAGCTACTGCAGCGAGGAGTTCGTGCACTGCAACTCGAGAGGAGCCCCGCTCACTGCAACTAGAGAAAGCCTGCCTGCAGCAGCAAAGTCCCAGGGCAGAAAAAAAAAGACTTTTTGGTTTCTCAAATAGGTAAACAATACCATATGATCTAGCAATTCAACTCCTAGGTATATACCCAAAAGAACTGAAAGTAGGGACTCAAATAGTGTATATCAATATTCACAGCAGCATTAATCACAACAGTTTAAACAAAAAAAAAAGCAGAAATAACCCAAGTGTCCATCAACAGATGAATAAACAACATGTCTATATACATACAATGGAATACCATGCAGGAATGAACAGGAATGAAGGAATAAACATAATACAGGAATGAAGTTTGATATATGCTATAGTGTGGATAAACCCTGACAACACATTAAATGAAATAACCAAGATACAATGGGCAAATATTGTATGATTCCACTTGCATATAAGATCTAGAATAAGCAAATTCACAGAGACTGATCACAGTTGAAAATTGGGGGAGGAAAGGATGGGGAGTGATTGTGTAATGGGCACAAAGTTTCTATTCAGGGGATGGAAAAGTTTCAGAAATAGTGATGGTTTCATGTTATAAATGTATCTAATGGCACTAAATTGCACACCTAGAGAGTTAAAACAGCATTTTATCTTATATGTATTTTACCACAATAAAACCAAAAGACAATAAGACTTCTTTGCCCTTCTAAAATAAAGGAGTACAGTCTTATTACTTAGCTAAAGCAACTAGAAATTTTACAATGCATGTAAAACAATTGTGATATAACATATAAATGTGAACTCACTAAGTTTTCTGTAGGTTGTAGTTTTAGAGATCTTGGAATCTTAGGGGTAATTTCCACTGGAGTTATTCTGACTACTGCATGCATTTCTATATTTAGTCTCTTTCTCAGGTCATCTGGAATCTGAAATATATAAAAATGAATTAAAAATATAAACGTTAAAATCTTAAGAAATATTCCACAGCATAAACACTGATATTAATTTCTATCAGCTCAGGTGAATAAGATACTGCCATGATCCATAGTATAGGTGGGCATTCAGGTACTGTTGTAACGCTAACATTTCAATTTTTTCCTACAGTAGTTTCTTTGAACATCCCCTTCAGAAGGTGGTCAGTTTTGAGCTGGCCGGTTAAGCCAGCTTGAGCACCTGACGGCAGCTGCCGCCTCTCACGGGCCACCCTCCAACCTGACCGCAGAGGGGGAGTGCAGGCTCCTGACTGTCGTCTCAGCTGGTCTCCAGGGCCCGATCACCACTTTTTCACCCCAGCCTCACCATGTAACGTCAAGGAAGCAACAGTGCTTCCTGCCTAACGGCAGCACCATTACTGGAAACAGGCAAGCCCACTGACAGGTTCAGACAATACGATTTTCAAGATGCAGTGGGATCTTCTTGAGTAAGAGATCAGAGATAACAGAAAATGTGAGGCACGGTTGGAACTTTCGAGAATGATGTAGGCTGAAGAGATTACAACTTGCAAGTCACCTACCTAAAGGTCACAGTCTAAACTGTGAGCATAAAAGAAATCTACTAAGGAGACTCCTTTTCCTTTCCATTGTTCTTCCCTGTCCTTCCTTCTCACCCTGAAATTACATTTCACGATGGTTCAAAATTAGGTTAAAATAAAGGAGGCTGGTGACTCATTTCATATAAAATTAACATTAACATCTGAAGCTAGGATGAGGAGGTGGAATGCTAGCTGTGTTACTTTCGCTCTCCATCACAGTAAAGAACCAATACCAGCAGGATAAGGCTTTCTGGGTACCTCTGAATCCAGGTCATCTCATGCCGTGGGTCTCTCCCGACATTGGGCATTTCCCCCAGTACGTACCAAGACATTCCTTTGCTTTCAAGAAGGTGGAAGCAAATCTTTGGGCATTAAAGATGTGAGGCTTTGTAGGGCGCTCCATTTGAAGCATGAACTCAAGAGTCAGCCTGTCAGGGTGTGAATCCTCATTCTACTTACTGACTCGTTACCCCAGGCAGGTAATTTTGACCTCTCTGGGCCTGTACCTATCTTAGCTTTTACCTGTCCAAGTTTATTAGCCAGAAAAACATACAAACCTTACCCAAACAAGGACTCTACCCTGCAATCAGAAATGTGTCCCCATGGGCACTTCTGTTGTTAGTCACTCAGTTGTGTCCAACTCCTTGTGACCCCATGGACGGTAGCCTGCCAGGTTCCTCCGTCCACAGGATTCTCCAGGCAAGAATACTGGAGTGGGTTGCCATTTCCTTCTCTAGGAGATCTTCCTGAACTAGGGATGGAACCCTGGTCTCCCGCATTGCAGGCAGATTCTCTACCATCTGAGCCATCAGGGAAGCCTAGAGGAGGGGGGACTTTAAATAGTGTTTATTACACTGGTTTTCAACTTGTGCACAAAATATTATAATATTTTAGTCCAAAATTTGGGCAAGTTCAAGCAACATAAAATATTTTCTAAGATTTATACTAAGCCATTTGCTATGCCCCAGAAACAAACAACACTGTCAATCAACTACAGTGTAACTGGGGCTTCCCTGGCGGCTCAGTCAAGAACCTGCCTGCAGTGTGGGAGGCCCAGGTTCAATGCCTGGGTTGGGAAGATCCCTTGGAGAAGAAATGGCTACCCACTCTGGTATTCTCGCCTGGAGAATTCCATGGATAGAGGAGCCTGGCGAGCTATAGTCCGTGGGGTTGCAGAGAGACAGACACAACTGAGCAACTAACATAATATAGTATAATTTTTAAAGAAAGACTTATACTAACCCAGACTTTCCCAAGATGAAGCGTGTCTAAATTTTTGGTGTATTTAATGGCATTCTTCAGTTCCTCAAGTCCATTCCAGACTACCTTTAGCACACAGGCCTTGCCAGCTTTGTGACTATGGTCTGGGCTAACTTGTTTTTGATCTAGAGGCTCTGACATCTGCTTCTCTTTTTCAGGTGGCAGGACATTTTGCTTTGTTCTACTTTGTTGTTGCTTTGGAGAAAGCAGTTTCTCTAGCTTTCCATAGGTCACAGTGAAGCTAGGCTCCAAATCAAAATATTCTTGGTCCCATGGAAATACATGAATGGCATGATGTTTGTGAAACACAGAAGTTGCTGATGCCTTACATATGCTGGGAGGCTGGGATTTGCATACTCTGAAAATATTGTCCAGAGGAACAACTGTTGACTGCATGTTTTTGAAAGCATTGATTTCAGTTAACCCCCAGGATGTGTCTTGTTTCTTCTCAGACCCCGAAGAAAAAATGCTTCCTATCACAGTCCATAAGCTTGGTAGAAATGATGAGTCAATCCTTTCCTCTGAATCTCGTTCTTTAGACCCAGCGACTCCTACAGTGTTTGATTGAGGTTGTTTGGTTTGAAGTTCTTTTGTCAATCCTTTTTGGTCTCTTTCATAATTATGAAACTGTCCAGGTGTTTTACCTGCTTCTGAAAATGTACTCTCTCTGGCTTGGCGGGTCTTTGGCTGAATTAGGAGTCTGCTGTCGGTTTCCAGCCTTCCATAAGCGGCGCCCGGTGTTAGGGCAACTGTAGAGGAAACAAGGGTCGTGAGTGCGTCTTTACCTCTGCTGTGGAGTCAACGTGAAGTGAAGAGTGTCACAGAAAACGCTACAACAGCACCTACCAATCTGGATAAATATGTAAGTCTGCTGATCAACCCAGACAGGAAAAACGGCTTTTGGAAAAACTATTCGAATCTGATCTAGAAGGTGCTGTTCAAGGGAAGCAGCATGCAGCTCCTAGAAAAAAAACAAACAAAAAGGTCAGTTCCCTTTACATTTTGTCTATTTCGTGTTTAGAAAGGAAATCTCAACTCTTTCTTATAAATCAAACCTACTTGGTTTATAATACCACTCAGAGAAGAAAAATCTAAAGACACCGATATTTTGGGGGATCAGATCAAGACGGAGGCAGGGTACAATGGGGAGCTCCCCTTCTCCCACAAATATATCAAAAATACATCTACATGTGGAATTGTTCTCACAGAACATCTAGTGAACATTGGTAGAACATTTTCTAGATTTCCAAACAGCAAAAAAATTTTCCTTTTACTTTTGAGGGCCAAACCAAGGGAAAACAAAAAGAGAAAGGCATCTGGACAGGAGCTATGAGAGGCGAAAGGTTTCTGCTCACTTGGAAGCCCTGTCCCAGGCGGCGAGATCAGTGGGGACAGAGGACGGGCTTTGGAGTCTCAGAGCGCACAGCACCTGGTCTACAGAGGGCGACGGAGAGACAGACCCGTGCAGACGGTCAGCACTGCCACCCGGCCCTCCCCAGTCCAAGATGCTCATCCACGCAGGCAGGTGGGGGCCGAGGCTCAGGCTTCAGAGGGAGAACTGGGGAGAGGACTGGGGTTGGCCGTGTGGACAGCCCAAGGAGACTAGGCTGTCACGTGCCCCAACCAAGGGAGTACGGGAATGAGCCTGGGCCCACCAGAGAGGTAAGGTGATGTTGTTGGGGGGCACGCAAGGTGAGGCGCAGGATCCCATAGGAATTCCTTTCCCCCTGTGCGCTCTCAGCTGACACGCACCACCTACACACCCCAGGGCAGGCACACGCAGCCACTACCACCGCGGACTCCAGAGGGAGCCGCAGACCACTGCTGCCACCAAGGGTCCCGTGAGCACCAACCGCTGCCCGTGCCTTTCCGGGACTGTGCATGGGCCAAGCGCCTGCACACCCCTCATCGAGTGGATGATGGACAGCACACGCAGAGAAGAGGCACGGCGAGCATTCAAACCAAAAACAACCCTCAAAACAGTGTCACATCCACACAAGCTATGCAGGGATGCCCTCACGTATAAACAGCCCTCCAAGGCTACAGCAGAAGACTGTTTCTCCTAAACGCACAGACTAAGAGAGATACAAGTAAAATGAAGCAGCAGAGAACTACTCCCAACTAAAAAACCAAGAGAATTCCCCTACAGGAATAAACAGTGAAACAGACCTCAGCAGTCTAATAGACACCAACTTCAAAAACAGGTAATGAAAATGCTAAGGGAATTAAGAAAGGCTATCAACATAAATGCAAATTACTATAAAAAGGAACTAGGATCTATACGAAGGAGCCAAGAAGAGTTAGAAAATTCATTTGCCAAAATGAAAGTTGAACTAAAGGTAATGAATACCAGAATAAATAATGCAAAAGAAGGAATAAGTGATCTGGAAGACAGAACAAAGGAAATTATACAAAATGGCAGACAGAAAGCCAGATGAAAAAAATTAAAGCAATATGAGACCCACTGGATAATATAAAGTGCGTCGATCTATGTGTAATATGTTTTCCAGAAGGAGAAAAGAAAAGGGGATTGAAAGTGTATTTGAAGAAATTATGACTAAAAACTTCCCAAACCTGAAGAACCAAACAGATATCCAGACATAGGAAGCACAGAGGATCCTAAACAATCTGAATCCAAACAGACCTACACCAAGACGTACTAAAATAAAAATGGCAAAAGTTAAAGGGGATTCTAAAGGCAGCAAGACAAAAACAAAGAGTTGATTACAAGGGAACCCCCATAAGCCTATCAGCTGATTTCTCTACAGAAACATTGCAGGCCAAACAGGAGTGGCAAAATATATTCAAAGTCTTGAAAGGGAAAATTCCGCAATCTAGAATATTCTACCCAGCAAGATTGTTTAGAATAAGAAGAAAAATAAAGAATTTCTCAGGCAAGCAAAAACTAAATGAATATACCAATAGTAAAACTATGGAAATATTAACAGACCTCTAAATAGAAAAGATGCAAGGAGATATAGAAAGGCAGAAATCATGATTGGAAAGTAAATCATTTAAACTGGCTAGTATAAATATCCAAAAAGAGAAAAAAATCTACTTGTGAAAGTGATGATACATACAAGCAACAGAAAAAGGATAACCATGAAGACGTAAAAAAGGACATCAAAATCACAAAATGTGGGGAAGGACAGTAAGAAAATGCACATTCTTTTTTTATTTTTTAGAATATGCTTGAGCAGATATGACTATCAGTTTAAAGCAAGCACATATATGAAAGGGATAACACACTTAAAAAACAGGGCCAAAAAAACAAAAAAAAACCAACAGGGCAATCACAAATCAAACACATAAAATAAATGCACAAAAACCAAAAAGAATCCAAGCATAAAGTAAATCATCAAACCACAAAAAGAGGAAGAAAAACAAAGAAGCAACTGGAAAACAAGGTTTAATATGGCAATAAATACATATGTATCAAAAATTACCTTAAATGTCAATGGACTGAATGCTCCAATCAAAAGACAGAGTGGCAGACTGTATCAAAAAAAAAAAAGGCTACAACATGTAGCCTATATGAGACCCACCTTATGACAAAAGACACATAGATTAGAAGTGAGGGCACAGAAAAAGACATTTCATGTATTGGAAATAAAAGGAAAGCAGAAATTGCAATACTTAACATCAGACAAAACAGACTTTAAAACAAAGGCCATAAAGAAAGATAAAGGACACTACATAATGGTAGAAGGATCAATACGAGAAGATATTATACTTGTCCACATACATGCACCTAATACAGCAGCACCCAAATATATAAAACACATACTGACAGACATAAGGGCTTCCTTGGTGGCTAAGTGGTAAAGAGTCTGCCTCTAATTCAGGAGACGTGGGTTCAATTCCTGGGTTGGGAAGATCCCCTGGAGAAGAAAATGGCAACCCACTCCAGTATTCTTGCCTGGGAAATCCCATGGGCAGAAGGAGCCTGGATGACTCTAGTCCATGGGGTCAGAAAGAGTTGGACACAACTTAGTGACTAAACAACAATAACAGTAGGAGACTTTAACAGCCACTCATATCAGAGAACAGGTCTTCTAGACGGAAAACCAATAAGGCAACAGAAATCCTAAATGACCCAATAGAACAGTTACACTTAATTCATATTTTCAGGACATTACATCCCCCCAAAGTAGAATATACATTCTTTTCAAGGGCACATGGAACATTTTCTAGGACTGACCATACAGTAGGGCATAAACTAACCTCAACAAATTCAAGAGTATATTAGCCACTAAAAGGAATACATTTGAATCAGTTCTAATGAGGTGGATGAAACTGGAGCCCATTATACAGAGTGAAGTAAGTCAGAAAGAAAAACATCAAGACAGTACACTAATGCATATATATGGAATTTAGAAAGATGGTAACGATAACCCTATATGTGAGACAGCAAAAGAGACACAGATGTATTGAACAGTCTTTTGGACTCTGTGGGAGAGGGCCAGGGTGGGATGATCTGAGAGAATGGCATTGAAACATGTATATTATCATATGTGAAACAGATTACCAGTCCAGGATGGATGCATGAGACATCAATCAACCAACCTAATCTACCACATAAAAGAATTAGAAAAAGAACAAACAAAACCTAAAGTTAGTAGAAGGAAGGATGTAATAAAGAACAGGGAGGACATAAATAAAGATTTAAAAAAACAACAGAAAAAAAATTATTAAAACCAGGAGCTTGGTCTTTGAAAGGGTAAACAACATTGACAAATCTCTGACCAGGCTCATTAAGAAAAGAGAAAGAACCTAAATAAAGAAAATAAGAAATGAAGGAGAAACCAACAAATTCTGCAGAAATACAAAAACCTGTAAGAGAATACTATGAACAATTAAATGCTGGGAACTCCCTGATGATCCAGTGGTTAGGACTTGCAGCTCCTCACTGCCATGGCCCAGGTTCAATCCCTGGCTGAGGAACTGAGATCCGGAAAGCTGTACAACATGTCCAAAAAACAAAAACAAATTATATGCCAACAAATTTGATAACCTGAAAGAAATGGACAACTTTCTAGAAACATACAGCCCACTAAAACTGAATGAAGAAATAGATCAGTTGAACAGCCCAGTCACTGAAAGTGAAATAGAATCTGTAATGATAAACCTTCCTACAAACAAAAGCTATGACAGACCTAGACGGCACATTAAAAAGCAGAGACAGCACTTTGACAACAAAAGTCCATGTAGTCAAAGCTATGGATTTTCCAATAGTCATGTATGGATATGAGAAAAGTGAAAGTTACTCAGTCGTGTCTGACTCTTTGCGACTCCATGGACTATATACAGTCCATGAAATTCTCCAGGAAAGAATACTGGAATGGGTAGCCCTTCTCTCCTCCAGGGGGTTCCCTGGAGAAGATCCCAATCCAGGGATTGAACCCAGGTCTCCTGTATTGCAGGCAGATTCTTCACCAGCTGAGCCACAAGGAAAGCCCAAGAATACTGGAGTGGGTACCCTATCCCTTCTCCAGTGGATTTTCCTGACCCAGGAATCGAACCTGCACTGCAGGCAGATTCTTTACCAACTGAGCTTTCAGGGAAGACCTACAGATCTGAAAGTTGGACCATAAAGAAAGCTGAGCACTGAAGAATTGAGGCTTTTGAACTGTGGTGCTGGAGAAGACTCTTGAGAGTCTCTTGGACAGCAAGATCAAATCAGTCCATCCTAAAGGAAATCAACCTTGACTGTTCATTGGAAGGACTGATACTGAAGCAGAAGCTCCAATACCTTGGCCACCTGGTGTGAAGAGCCAACTCATTGAAAAGATCCTGATGCTGGGAGAGACTGAGGGAGGGAGGAGAAGGGGGTGACAGAGGATGAGACGGTTGGATGGCATCATTGGCACAATGGACATGAGTTTGAGCAAACTGCGGGGGATTCTGAAGGACAGGGAATCCCAGTGTCCTGCAGTCCATGGGATCGCAAAGAGGCAGACACAGCTTAGCCATTGAATAGCAACAAGTAAAACCTACAAATCAACGTGACTTTTGGATATAGTCAATAAATTCCTCTTTAAAAGTTGGCTATAAAAGATGTCCTTTTATTTCCCTCACACATTTTACCCAGAAGAGTCTTGACATCATGATGAACAAGAGAAGTTCTTTTTATTTCCTCTAAAACAGAGTGGTTTTTTTCAAACACCCTGAGGGTATTTCCACCTCTTCAACTGTTCAAAAGAAACACTTGTCTTAAATAACTAGCCCACCGGATGCTTGTCTGAATTTTACCCAGCTTCAAGGCCCAGTTTAAATCTTATCTTTCACAAAATCACATGGTTCATCAAGTCACTCCTCGAATTTCTAATAAAGTATGCATTCTATTGTTTTGTTATGTAACATGCACTGCTCTTATAAGTATGGGCACTCTAAAAAATCAATGATAATATTATATGACTAACTTTAGATTGTGAGGATAAAGAAATTTGTTTCCTTCCCTCCAGCATAGGGAGATTTTCAGCAGCAAGTGAGCCTGAGTTACATAATCATCACATATGGCCACTTTAAGATCAGTTAATATTCTAGTCAAATATTTTTTATTTTTAAAAGTCCTGTTGTAAAAAAAAAAACAGAATTACTCTATAGGTTAATCTTGAACTTGGTATATCAAGCTTATCTGATGCTTTCCTTGCTTAATTCCACTGTGGTTACTGAAGATTTCAAATTTGAATCACTTGAATCAATCATTTGAAATTTGTAGAGCCTCATGACAGCATCAAGTCAATTTTTAAAAATGTTTCATGTGCCCTTAAAAGGAGCGTGTACTCTGTAACTGTTTGCAATGTTGAATACAAATCTACTAGATCAAGTTTGTGTTGTTCAGAATTTCTATATATTTATTGATATCTTTTTTTAGGTCTAGGACTTTATCAGATTCCATTAAAATCCCCCACTGTAGTTGTGAACTTATTTCTTCTTTGTGATCCATCAGTTTTCACTTTATATATTTTGAGGTTATAACTTTAGGGCATATAATTTCACATTCATGAAATATTTCTTTATCTTTAATGGTGCTCTTGCAATAAATCATACTTTGCCTACTATCGGAATATCTATCCCAGATTTCTTTTTAGTGGGATCTGATTTATTATATTCTATTACCTTTCTTTGTAAATTCCTATATAGTTGTAATAAGAATGTGTTAGCATATAGGGTGTTATTTTATCTAGTCTGACAACCTTTGTTTATTAATTGAAGTATTTCACCTGTTTATATATAATGTAATTATTGATACATGTAGGCTTAAGTCTGACATGTTAAAGCTTGTTTTTGTTTTTTATTTTTCTATTTCGGNAAAGCTGGCTTAAAACTCAACATTACAAAAACTTAAGGTCATGACATCCAGTCCCATCAGTTCACGGCAAGTAGAAGGGGAAGAAGTGTAAGCAGTGACAGATTTTATTTTCTTGGGCTCCAAAATCACTGCAGATGGTGACTGCAGCCATGAAATTAAAAGATGCTTGTTCTTTGGAAGGAAAGCTATGACAAAACTAGACAACATAGTAAAAAGCAGTGACATCACTTTGCTGCAAAGGTCAGTATAGTCAAAACTATGGTTTTTCCAGTAGTCATGTATGGATGTGAGAGTTGGGCCATAAAGAAGGCTGGGCACTAAAGAATTTATGCTTTTGAACTGTGGTGCTGGAGAAGACTGTTGAGAGTCCCTTAAGACTGCAGGAGATCAAACCAGTCAAGCCTAAAGGAAATTAACCCTGAATATTCATTGGAAAGACCAATGCTGAACCTCCAATACTTTGGCCACCTGATGCGAAGAGCCGACTCACTGGAAAAGACCCTGATGCTGGGAAAGATTAAAGCCAAAAGGAGAAGGGGGCAGCAGAGAATGAGATGGTTAGACACCATCACTGACTCGGACAAGAAATTGAGCAAACTCCAGGAGATAGTGAGACAGGGAAGTCTGGTGTGCTGCAGTCCACGGGGTTGCAAAGAGTCGGACGTGACTTAGCGACTGAACAGCAACAACATGATAAAAACTCTTTCAAAAGTGGGTACTGAGAGAACATATCTCAATACAATAGAAGCCTTTTATGACAAACCCACAGCCAATGTAACACTGAACGGTGAAAAGCCAAAAGCATTCCTGCTAAAATCTGGAACAAAACAAGGATGCCCACTCACCACTTTTCTTCACCATAATATTGGAAGTCCTAGCCACAGCAATCAGACAGAAGAAGAAGTAGAAGGTATTCAGACTGGAAGGGAAGAGGTCGAACTGTCATTATATGCAATGCATCCCTGCTCAGTCACTTCAGTTGTGTGCAGCTCTTTGTGACCCTATGGACTCCAGGCTCCTCTGGCCGTGGGCTTCTCCAGACAAGACATTTAGGACATTTAGGTTGCCATTTCCTCCTCCAGGGGATCTTCCTGACCTGGGATTGAACCTAGTCTCCTGCGTCTCCTGTATTGCAGGCAGATGCTTTATCACCAGGGAAGCCCATGTGCAGATGACATGATAAGGTATACAGAACTCCCTAAGGTCTCCATACAAAAACTACTAGATCTAATAAATGAACTCAGCAAAGTAGCAGCATATAAGATTAACACTCAAAAATCAGTTCCATTTGTTTTATACTAACAGTGAAGTATCAGAAAGGAAATGTAAGAAAACAATACTTTTAAACCTGGACCAAAATAAAAATACCTAGGAATAAACCTGATGAAGGAGGTGAAAGACTTAGATGCTGAGAACTATAACATATTAATATAGGAAATTAAAGAGAATTCAAAGACATGGAAAGACATCCCATGCTCTTGGACTGGAAGAACATTGTTAAATGGCAATACCACCCAAAACGATCTACAAACTTTATGCAATCCATGCCAAATTACTTATGACATTTTTCACAGAACTGGAACAAATAATCCAAAAATTTATATGGAACCATAAAGACCCAGAAGTGACAAAGCAATCCTGAGGAGAAAAAAACAAAGCAAAAGGTGTAAGTCTCTCAGATTTCAGACTATACTACCATAAACAAAACAATGTATGTTGGTACGAAAACCAACATGTGGATCAATGGAACAGAATAGAGAGCCAAGATATAAGCCCACACACCTATGGCCAATTAATCTTCAACAAGAATATAAGAAAATCAAATGGGAGAAAGTCTCTTCAGCAAGCGGTGCTAGGAAAGTTACACAGCTACATGTACATCAATGAAGTCAGAACACACCCTCACACCACACACAAAAATAAACTCAAAATGGCTTAAAGACCGAAACACAAAATATGACATCATGAAACTCCTAGAAGAGAATACAGGCAAAGCATTCTCTAATGTAAATTGTACCAATGTTTTATTAGATCAGTCTCCCAAGGCAATAGAAATAAAAACAAAATAAACAAATGGGACTTAATCAAACTTACAAACTTTTGCACAGGGGGGAAAAAAAGGAAGGATGAAAAGACAACCTAAGGAATGGGAGAAAATATCTGCAAAATGATATAACTGACAAGGGCTTAATCTCAAAAATATATAAACTGCTCATACAATTCAAGAAAACAAACAGCCAATCAAAAAAAAAGAGAAAAAAAGGGCAGAAGACCTAAGTAGACATTTCTCCAAAACAGACATACAGATGGCCAGTAGGTACATGAAAAGATGTTCAACATCACTAATTATTAGAGAAACCAAAAACAAAACTACAATGAGGTATCACTCCACCCCAGTCAGAATGGCCATCACTAAAAAGTCTACAAATAACAAGCGCTGGAGAGGGTTTGGAGAAAAGGAAACCCTCCCACACTGTTGGGAGGAATGTAAGCTGGTGCAGCCACCATGAAAAACAGCGTGGAGTTCCCCCAGAAAACTAAAAATAGAACTACCATATGATCTAGCAGTCCCACTCCTGGGTATATATCCAGACAAAACTATAATTCAGAAAGATACACGCACCCCTGTGTTCAGAGCAGCACAATTCACAACGGCCAAGACGTGGAAACAGCCTGAATGTCCGTCAATCCACACACAGCGGAATGCTACTGACAATACATACTAACAATGCCATCTGCAGCAACACGGACGCAACTAGCTATTGTGATACAAAGTGGAGGAAACCAGAGAGACAAACACCATAAGATATCATTTACATGTGGAATCTAAAATATGGCACGAAATGAACATACGTAGAAAACAAACACAGACTCAGAGAGAGAGAAGACCTGTGGTTGCTCAAGGGGCAGGGGGAGGGAAGGGCAGGACTGGAATCTGGGACTAACAGATGCAAACTATTACGTACAGAATGGACAATAACAAGGTCCTCCTGCATGGCACAGGGGACTGTATCCAATCTCCTAGGGTAAATCATAATGGAAGGGAAACAAAGAGATATATATATATGTGTGTATCACTGAGCCGCTCTGCTGCAGAGTGGAAATCAGCATGGCACTGTAAACAACTGCACTCAAAAAACATCAAAGACACTGGTACTCTGAAGTAGTTTAACCTTCAACTTGGACAGTTCTCATTGTGTTCTCTTTACCAGTATCTCCCAATCATCTGCTGACAGGGGTTCCACCTCAACTTGCTGGCAAGACACCACATGGGGACAAGGCTTGAGAAACACCTGGAAAAAAAATTAAAGTATAAAACCACCATTAAAAGACTTTTTTATATCCCTGGAAAATAGGGACTTCTCTCTTTTAGCTCTGTAGTTAAGTGTGTGTGTCATCCTTTATTTGACGAATATTTATTAAGCTCTTATCTTAGGTAGGTGCTGATATACTCAACATTTTAGAAAAAATATCTCACAACTATAAAATATAGGAAAATACATCCTAGTGCAATACATGTTTGAAAAAATAATATAAACATAACCATTTGAAGAAAAGAAATGTAAGTTAAAAAAGAGAAGAAAAACAGTGATGTCATCAAGTCATGGCTTGATCTAGTATATAAGTACTATTGTTTCTAGATGTTCTGCGACTTAGTTTTATAACTAAACGTCAAGCCACAGTGCTTCTGGAAAAGTCAGTAACACACTGAAATAGAGCTCAGAACCAATCATTTACAATTATTCAGAAGTATAATCATTCATAGCTAAAAATACAATGAAACAAATACTCTGTCCTTCCAGTCTACAGACACACAGGAATGCTAGTGTCTCTCAAGAATCTGGAATCCACTCACTCACTCAATTTCCACTTCTATGGACATTTCTGGGGATTAGAGGAGTAAAATCCAAAGCCACCGAGGAGTAAATGCTCCTTCTTGCTTTTGTGGGTTGGGGCAGAATTTCCCCAAGCGTCTTGCTTGCTCCTCAGTTATTTCCCTCAGCACCTCCCATGTACACTACTTGAAAGGCGTGACTCTGAGAAGGTACAAAGCTAGAAGCTAGTAAACATAAACCGGTGAATAAGATAAAGTGGAGACAGACATGAGTCCGTAAGCTTTGGAGTCCACAATCTAAGCACAGTAAGTAAAACTGAATAATTCATGAAGAATAACTGAACAAATTAAGGAACCTGGGAGCTGAGTACAATAAAAGGTAGAACAGAAAATCAACTCGAGAGTATGGGGGATTATTAGACAATGCCTTAACGGAGCATATGACAGATGGTACACAACTTGAATATCTCAGACTGGTTATAGCAGCACACGACTTAGGTGTCCTCTTACCTCCCTAAAACATACATCTGAACTCTTATTTCTTCTGCTATGTACCATTAAAAAAGTCACTGTCATCACACTTTGTGCTTACCTGTTCCCCATTTGAGAGTCCAAGTTTCTGACCAACTTGTCTGTTAATTTCAGCCACATTTTCACCTTCATCACTAAAATGTCTGCTTTCCACCCAGCTCAAGAATGCAGGCTGGTGACCCCAGGCTACTTCTATAGCTTGATTCTATTTAGTCAAGAAATAAGAAATGGGGGAGAAAGGTTTTGAAAGTTTTTATATGCTTCTCTGGATTCACAGAAAAGATAAATTACAACTGCAACCCACATGTACAAAAAGAGCTCTATAGATAGTTGACAGCTCTCTGTGATCCACCTTCATCACAGCATTTAAAAAGCTGTAATCANAGGTTTTGAAAGTTTTTATATGCTTCTCTGGATTCACAGAAAAGATAAATTACAACTGCAACCCACATGTACAAAAAGAGCTCTATAGATAGTTGACAGCTCTCTGTGATCCACCTTCATCACAGCATTTAAAAAGCTGTAATCATTTCCAGAACCTAATGGTGATGACACTATGGGTGAAACCAATACCCTATATCCTTATGATGGCAGGGTAAATTGACTCAACCACTCCAGAGTTCACAACGGCAACAGGTGGCCAGTAAACTTAGGTAGCCTTTGACCTTATTTACTTACTTAGGATTAATGCTTCAAGGAAAAAAAAACTATACCAGAACACATCTCTGCAGTATTTTCTATAATTATGAAAACTTAGGGCTATCTTTACATGTCTAGCAATATGGGAATAAGCTTTTAAAAGCCATTTTTTTAAAGCCATTTTCTATGATTAAAAAATTACAAACTTATTACAGAAACGTTAGAAAATACATAAACCTTGGAAAATATATAAAAGGAATTATTGATATTCCCATGTGAATATCAACCGTGTGATATAATTTGGTCTTTTCTGGCTAATCCTTTTTTCTATGCACAAGTTAACTGCTGTATTACAGTTATGATTTAGTAATCCTTTTCCCCCACTTATCCTTGTTATTTTAAGTATTTTCACATACAGATCATTTTTAATAAAAAGTAAGAGCTTCACTAATAGCCATTAACACTTAACATCTCAGGAAGTTTCAGTACTGTTGTGCTGTGCTAAGCTGCTTCAGCCGGGTCCAACTCTCTGCAACCCCGCAGACTGTAGCTCTTCTGTCCATGGGATTTTCCAGGCAAGAATACTGGAATGGGTAGTCATTTCCTCCGCCACAGGATCTTCGCGACCCAGGGATTGAACCCACGTCTCCTGAATTGGCAGGCAGATTCTTTACCACTTAGCCACCTGGGAAACCAGGTGAGTTATAGATGAGGGCAAATTAACTGCATGGAAATGGACTGGCTGATTCACTTACACATTAAAGTACAGAAATGACCTAGATACCGATGGCATCTTTCACTATAAACATTGTATGATTCTGGAATAGTGGGTCTTGACTCGGTGCATCCAAGAAGCCTTAAATACTTTTATTAATAAAACTACAGATGCCTGAAGCCCACTCCTCAAGATTCTGATTCAGCAGGTCCATTCAAGAACCAAAATATCTATTTTTAAAGCATTTAGGAACATATTAAATACAATTAACACTGCTGCATTAAAACATGAAAGTGGTTGAAAGTAAACGCTGAGTTCTCATCACAAGGAAAACACTTTTTCCCCTTTTCTATAATTTGGTATCTACAGGAGATGACGGATGTTCACTAAACATTCTGATAATCATTTCATGATGCAAGTCAAACCACTGTGCTGTACACTTCAAACTGACACAGGGAGACTCCCCTGGTGGTCCAGCGGCTAAGACCCTGCACACCCATACAGGGGCCCGGGTCCGATCTCGGGTTGGAGAAAAAGATCCTGCAAGTCGCAACAAAGATCAAAGGTCATGAGAGTGTCAACGGAAGACCCGGCATGGCCAAATAAATAAATACTAGAAAAGAAACTTATACACAGCGGTATGTCAATTATATCTCAATAAAACTGAAGGGGGGGTGGAAAGGTTAAGTCTGATACAGTTCAGAAAATCATTCTAGTTTCGCTCCCTCCCTCTCCTCCGCGCGATGGCGCGATCTCTTTGCATCTTTCGGACGTGCCCTCACGCCTCAAAGATGGATTTTCCTGCTATTATCTAAATAAATAGAGCTGTAACACTGAAAAAAAAAAAAAAAAAGAAAATCATTCTAACTTTTTTCCATTACAGTATCACCTGTATTATGTATTCAATGCTTCAGCTGATGTAAAATAATTCAACCTATTAACTCCCAATTCATGAATTTCTGCCTTAATAATTATTTATGGGGGCTTCCCTGGTGGTCCAGTAGTCAAGAATCCACTCGCCAATGCAGGGGACAGGGGCTCCATCCCTGGTCTGGGCAGACAGCAGGTGCTGTGGGGCAACTAAGCCCACGTGCCCTACAGCCTGTGCTCCACGAGGAGAGGAGAGGGGCCGCCAGGACGCCAAGCCCTCGCGCCCACGAAGAGCAGCCCCCATTCGCCACAACCCCATGTGCGGCGACGAGGACCCAGCACAGCCAAAAAGGAATAAAAATTTAAAACTCATTTATGCCCTCTAACTCAATCATTTCTGAAAGCCTATTTTAACCAGAAAATAAAGCAACATTATACATTACACAAAGATATGCTACTTTTAACTTTTTATTAAAACATAGTATCATTTTTTTTTTAAAACATAGTATCATTTTTAATGTCTTAAAAACTGAATGCAATATAAACGTTCAACCGGTGAACAATTATGGCAAACTTATGACAGAACACTAATCAATACCTCTAAAAACTGACAATTACAGGCTTCCCTGGTGGTTCATCTGGTAAGGAATCCACCTGCAATGCAGGAGACCTGGGTTCAATCCCTGGGTTGGGAAGATGCCCTGGAGACGGGAAAGGCTACCCACTCCAGTATTCTGGCCTGGAGAATTCCATGGACCCCATAATCCATGGGGTGGCAAAGAGTTGGACACGACTGAGCAACTTTCAAAAAAAAAAAAAAGACAATTACCTTTTAATAAAATAAAACACTCATAAGACTGTAAGAAAATATCAGTATACAAAACTACCAGTGTGTGCAGGCCTCGATCTCTGTTAAAAATAGAGATTTGAAATAAATGAAGATTTGAAACAAAACTGGAAGATTTGATCCAAACTGTTAACATTTGTTATCTCTAGGTTTGGGAGTTATGGGTAGCTTTTATTCTCTTGTTTATAGTTTTCCATGCTTTCCAAATTTTCTACATAATGTATTACTTTTATAATTAGGGAGAAGAGTTGGCCTGGTCTTCTGACACAGGCTAGATAGAAACAACAGTTTGTTTCAAGGCGAAAGGGGTTTAGGTTTCATAAAGATATCCATGAATTAATTCTTACAAATACTTATCAAAGGCTCAAAATTTAAAACAAAGATGAAGACCATTAAACCTAATACAGCACCCACATTCTAGAAGCAAATTAGTTACTGTAAGGAAGCACTCCTACAAGCTCAGCAGGTGAGGAATGTTTCCAATAAGTCTGGAGGTGATGACTTAAATTTCCATCAGAGCTGACTGAGTACGGCGCGGCAGGATCTACCTAGCACTTGGTGACAAAACTAACTCACCTCCTGCCATGAAGGATAGCTCATCAGAGCCTAGAGGCTGTCTGCGGCTCAGATGCTCTGTGACTCTTCGCCACCCCATGGACTGTAGCCCGCCAGGTTCCTCTGTTCCTGGAATTCTCCAGGCAAGAATACTGGACTGGGTTGCCATTTTCTCCTTCAGGGGATCTTCCCCACCCAGGAATCGAACCGGCGTCTCTTACATCCCCTACATTGGTCCAAGGCTTCTTTACCACTATCTGTCACCTGGGAGGCCCCAAAAGACTCTCTATTGTAAAAGCAATAACGGCAGGATCTACTGAAATTAACATGCTTTGAAAGACTGGGGGAAAACAATCTAGGAAAGTAATTACAGGGAAGTAGCTAAAATGGAGAGGTGGGATATTTAAAATTATTGCAAACTCCTAAATATTTCCTGCAAGGATTAGCCCGTAGTGGGTACTATGCATCCAGGATTTTCAAAGATTTCAACTATTCTGTCTTTTTGTCCTCACAGCACACTCAAACTCTTAGACCAGGTGCCTCTGTTTTATAATTACGAAACTAGGGATGTGGTTAGAACTATGAACCACCACAATCACAATGTCCAGAGGGCAACTAACTGCAGAGGTCCAAGTATGCATAATCCCACTGCACGTTCCGGGCACACCTCGGAGGTATTCTGAGCCGCGGAGACGCAGCGAGAACCTTCATCTTAATAAACTATCTCGCTCGCGACTCAGTCTCTATTAATTTACAGGGACTCCTGGGCCACAGCCAGGCAGGCGCACCTGGAAATCACTGGCAGAAAAAACGTTTTTTACGAAAGAAAAAAAAAACAAAACCAGCAAAGACAAACTCGACTTCTCCAAAGCTTTTCCAACCTGGAGTGAGGAACAGGGGAACTCAGAATTACCAGAATGTGTGAAAGCCCAGTTTCACCCAGTGAAGATCTGCAACACGTACGGCAAGTTAACGCAAAGGCCTGGGGCTGCACCCGACGTGGTAGGGCTGCAAAGACCGCCCGGACCGGCCCTGCTCCAGCGGCCCACGGTCTCGCTGCTGAACAGGTCGGCGGCGCGGGGAGAGCAGCCCGCGTCCCGCCGTCGGGAGACACCAGAGCGGCCGCTGCGGCCCGAAAAGGCCCGGGTCCCGGGCGACCGCAGGCGGCCCCCCAGGAGTCCCGAGTCCGGGCTGGGGAGTCCGTGGGGCGGGCGCGTTACCTGGAGCAAGTGCAGCTGGGCGACTAGGCGCCGCGGCAAGTGAAGGAAGCAGTCGCGCGTGTTGGTGAAGGCCACGGTCACGGCCGCCCCGCCACCAGAACCCGCCAGCCGACCGCCGCCCCACATCCTCCGCAAGCGAGGACCCCCCGGAGGCCCACCCCAGCGGACGCGGGCTAACTGCGGGCCGAGCCCGTCCGGGCCAGATACGCTCGGTCGGCCCCGCCCCCAGGTCCCGCCCCTCGCGCCCGCCGCGCCGCGGCCGCCGGAGCGGCAAGCAAGCCCACGCCGGCCCGGCGGCCTCTCCGCCGCGCCGCTGGAGGGCGGCAGCTCGCTCGCCGACTGCTTGCTCACAGGAAACGATGTTGGCCGTCGATGTTGGCCCTGTCGACCCGTCAGCCAATCTCGGCGCGCCTTGACCCATCCCTCTCTCTTATTGGATAATCCGGAGGGCAACAAGGCGGATGTTGTCGTCTCTGAGAGGGCCAAAGCCGCCAAGATGGCGTCGAGCGGAGGGCAAGTTGGCGGCGTATTCGACCACCACGTCCAAAGGGCTGTGTGCGACTCGAGAGCCAAGTATCGGGAGGGCCGACGGCCTCGCGCTGTGAAGGTAAAGTGATTTTGGTTTCATTCGTTGTCGTCGGTAGCTTTATGTGAGCTGTAGCTTCACAGGCCTAGTTAATGTAAATAAAGTCTTCAAAGGCTGCAGTCACATCCATTTGCTGGAGGTGAGTGTGAGGAACGCTGGTACTCAGGTACCAGATACTCTCGCGGAGTATCAGTCAACGGTTGGAGCTCCGTGAAAACGGGGTAGGTGTTTACAGTAGTGAATATTTAACTCTTTCCTGTAACATTTACCGAGGCAATTTCTGAAGACATATCGATTGGAGGTAGTCTATTGTGTGCTTTAGCTCGAAGCTCTCACACGTAGGGTTAATTACTGTTTATGCAAAGAGGGGGGCAGATTTTTAAAAAAGTTTTCTGCAGACCTGACCAGAGTAGTTCTTGTTTTCAGCTTTTTTTTTTTTAATAGTAACAGGTTTGTCTTAGGCTTGTTTGTGAAATACATTTAATGTGTCTGCATTTGTTTTAGGTATATACAATCAACTTGGAGTCTTGGTACTTATTAATACAAGGAGTTCCTGCAGTGGGAGCAATGAAGGAATTAGTTGAGCGATTTGCTCTATATGGTGCAATTGAACAGTACAATGCTCTAGACGAATACCCAGCAGAAGACTTTACAGAAGTTTATCTTATTAAATTTCTCAATTTACAGAGCGCAAGGTAATGTGCAAGTTAAGCAGTGTCTCATTTCCTCTGTTGGCATTGCTGTCATTTTGGCCTCCCGCATTCTTTCATGAATTACCCAGTAATTGAACATGGCTTTTTATTTTTCTCCACTATTCTTAATGTAGGTGTTAGCTTTATCAAGTTTGTCCATCAGGTCATCCCCTTGCTTAACTATTTTTTGTCTTTGTAGTGTGGTAGATTAAAAAGTGGGTTTGGACTAAATTTTCAGGTTTCACTGCTTACTAACATCATGACCTTGGACAAGTTATTTAATCCCATTAAACTTGTTTTCCTGTTTTATAAAATGTGTATGGTAAAAAAGGATCTACTTACTTAAGTTGTATGAGGATGAAATGAGCTAATCCATGTAAAGGGCTTAGCAAATGCCTCCTGTTCAGAATGCAGTAAACATTAGCTGTTAACATTTCTTGTTATGCATCTATATGAATTGACCCCATCTTTTTTCTTCTTTTGTATAGCATAAATCCTCTGCTCTAGTAAGGGAAATAGAAATGCCTTACTCATATTCTTGTCATTAATACACTTCAAGACCCATCCTTCCCTGGCTATTACAATTCATATTTTCTGTGCTATACATAGTACTGGGGTATGTGGGCCATATATTGGTCTCCAGTTGCTCTTATGTATAATCTCAGTGCCCTAACCAGCTTGCCAGCTCCTCATGGTTAGGGAAGCATATTTTCTCATTGTGCATTCATTCCACGAAACCTTTGCATCTCCCACACCCCTTTTACAATAGGCCAGTGTGACATGTGGATTTGAATCCTGGCTCCACAAACTAAGATGAGCTTGGACAAATGGTCTCCCCATGCCTCAGAATCATCATAGGGATATTGAGAAGTGTGATTTCAAGTGAAGCATTTAAGCATTTAGGCCACCGCCTGGCACATGGTAAAATCTCAGTGAATATTTCTTACCGTTTTCCCTGGACACAGAAGTACTTATTTTTGTAGTAATTCCTGGCCAGCCATAGATGTATAGTAAGTATATATTAAATGAATACTATCCTCTCCTTTTCTCATTTACTGTTACACATTTGTGTTTCCTCCATTATTAAATGTTTATAATTATAATTTTTTTTTTTTTACTAATTTCTTATCTTTGAACCCCATTATAGGAACACATTGTGCTAAAAAGGCTAAGCTGGGCATGAGCTAATTCTCAAGGGTCTTTTAACACAGAATCTCTATTTCGTGACCACAGATTGTGTACCTCAAGCCAACCAGCTGAATCCTATGTTGGTTAAAGGGAGTCTGGATATGTTTGGAAAACTTAGCTTAAAACCTGTGAAGACTCTTGGGAGAGGGGAAGAAAGGCTCTGAAAGAATATGCAGTAGATCAGTAGGGTCAATACCATTCCTGTGCAGAGCGTCTTAACTCCCAAGCTATAGGATTTATGTACAGAACAATATCTGGACTTTGCTTTTTAGATCAGTGCATTGTATACTAGTTAAGCTTTCATCCTAAGTAAATCTAGATTAGTAAGCCACAATATCATGCATTTCTGTTTAGGATAGCCAAGAGAAAAATGGATGAACAGAGTTTCTTTGGCGGGCTGCTTCATGTGTGCTATGCTCCAGAATTTGAAACAGTTGAAGAAACCAGAAAAAAATTACAAGAAAGGAATGCTTATGTAGCAAGAATGACTAAAAATAAAGGTATGTAAAGCCTACTACTAAACACCTCCTATGTGTCAGGCATTTTGCTGAGTTTATCCTCCTGGAGTTTTCCCAGTCTAGTGACTATAAGTTGTGAAGATTTTTCTTTCCAGAATGCTATGTAATCTGGGCTGGGAAGGGATAGATGTTATCTCATGGAAGGTTTCTACAGGATGAGAAAGGTGCCTGAGTTCTGAAGGGTAAGTAGACATTACCCAGAAAGGGAGAGGAACAGATGGAAAGATGGGCCAGAGGAATAAATGAGCGTCATGCATTTTAAGGAACTGTGGGTAATATATGATAACCACAACATAGCAGCTTACGTGTGAATCTGAGATTAGAAAAGGGGACAGTAAGTGAATCCTGAAAGGCCTGTGTCCATGCTGAGGAATTAAGGCTTTGACCAAAAGGCAGTGAGAAACAACTTCTGATATGCAGACCACTGTGAACTGTTAATCTAAAACTGAAAACAGTGGAAAAATTCCACTTTTGATCAACACTAGCTGGCCCGATGCCCCATGTTTCTAATCAGTTGCCCTGGACACAAATTCCCAGGGCACAGAGTGGAGTCCTAGGACCTAGTTCATGGATCGTAGAATGAGAGGGGTCAGCACTGGGCTGTGATAGTGTGTGTGGTCTGAAATCGGAATAATTCTAGAGGGTCAGATTACCGGATTTTCACCCTTTGGTTAAAAAGACAAAGACACTGTATAAAAAGCTATTTAATATGATGAGTTTCTGACTGACTGGGCAAGGGGCACCTGGCAGTGTGAAGAGAGAAGTGGGAAACTCCCCTGAAACTTTGGCAAGAGCTGTTGGGAGTCTTTGGTCATGCGGAAGTGCTGAGCTATAATCTGTGTAAATGTGTAAATAACTGGCTCCAGGAAAACGTGTATGTGTGGCAAAAGAAATGATAAAATATGGACCCAGCATATTGTTTCCTTTAACAACTACAAACACAAACTAAGCATAATACGTTCAAACAGTAAAAATACTTTGAAGATATAGAAAGTTTTCTGTGTAATGACATGGAAAAACTCCCCAAGATTTAGAATTAACTGGAAGGCAGAGAGATGCAGAGAAGTGGGTATTATAGGAGAACAAGAGGGCTAAATGGGAGGGAGAAGACTGGACAGATAACCTTGTTAGCTTTTGAACCATGTAAATACAGTACTTGTTCAAGAATAAATTTTTTAGGGTAGCATTTATTAACATTTTAAAGTAATGTTTCTTTTTAAAATTACATGTTTCTACATGATGAAAACAGTAAATGAACCATTTCTGTTTCCCTTTCCCTGGCTTTTAAATTGTAACATACAGATCATTACGTGACAAAGAAGCATAAAGATGCAAAAGATTTTAGAGGGGACTTCCATTCAAAGACATCTAGATTTCCTGCAGCCTCTCTGAAGACTTCTACTGGGAACTCAGATCTTTGTCTTCCTTATTCTTCTGAGTTGCCTTTGTGTTATTTCTCCCCCAAGTGTACATGTTCATCGGGAGAAGATGTAGACAGACCATCAGACTCCTCTCAGGATGGTAGAAACTCTGATGGAACCCTGGGGCATTGTGACCACTGTGACTCTCTGCAGAAGATGCAGATGAAAACCTCACAAAATTCCTTGGCCCGCCGTGGCGCACAGAAGGCTCTTAGTCCTTCAGAGGCAGTTGACAGGTTTATGCCTAGGACAACACAACTGCAGGAGCGGAAGAGAAGAAGAGAAGATGACTGTAAACGTGAAACTCTTCTTGAAGCGGGCACAAGTAGTAATGAGGTTATGATTGGCCCTCAGTTACCAGTCATTCCTAAAGTGGACATGCATGACGACTCCTTGAATACAACAGCAGATTTAATCAGGAATAAACTTAAAGAGGTAAGATCGTTTAAAAAAGAAACTTTTAAGAGACAGTTTGGTTATAAGGACTAACAGCTAAGTGGAGAATTATTTGTAGGAACTTCAGTATTGTCATTCTTTTTTTTCCAATTTTAATTTTTAGATGTGTTTTCCTACGATTCTATGTTGAAGTAACTGAATTTGACTTATAGATATGTATTTGTTTTGATACCTTTAATCCTTTCTTTAAATATATTTTATGTTACTCTCGGTAGAAAATATAAGAGCAGTAGTTTCAGTTGGATCAGTCTATGAGAATGGATCCCAGGCCCTCCCTTTTTAAAC